TGGTTATTAATTTACGTTTATTTGTAATTGTTGTTTATCTTTATTTATAATTGTCGTTTATCTTTATTTCTAATTGTTGTTTAGCTTTATTTTTAATTATCGTTTATCTTTATTTGTAATTGTTGTTTATCTTTATTTATAATTATCATTTATCTTTCTTTTTTTATGACTGTCGTTTCTTTTTCTATGATTAGTTTTTTTTTAAAATTCAATGATTAACCATATAATTCATTAAAATCACACAACCACTTTTACAATTTAAATACACTTTCATAATTTAAACACACAACATAATTTAAACACACTTACATAATTTAAACACACAACATAGCTCATTGTCCACCTCCTTCGCATCTCCAAATGTGGTTGATCAAATCATTTCTTAGATTGTGATGCACTTGTGAAGCACAAACTCTATTATGACGGACCATGTAGTCTGAGATAGTTTGTTTGTCTCGGTTTATATCGTACGTGATAGTTGGCTCAAGCTCATAATCAAGTATTGCTTTTGCTCTTCTAGATGTTCGTGGACAATTGTCTTCATCATCAGATTCTGCATGTAGATTCTCATACTTATCCTCAACAATCATGTTGTGCAATATTATGCACGTCATCAAAATTGAATGAAGTTGTTCTTTGTGCCACATACGTGCAGGTCCCCTAACAATTGCCCATTGAGCCTGAAGTATTCCGAAGGCTCTTTCAACATCCTTCCTATAAGCCTTTTGTTTTTGGGCAAATAGTCTTTTTTTTTTAGTATCCGGTTGGGAGATCGTCTTAACCAATGTAGCCCAACGAGGGCAAATACCATTAGCCAAGTAATAACCCAGATTATATTCATTTTCATTGACAACATATTGGATATGGGGAGACATTCCAGTCACTACATCATTGAACAACTGGGAACGAGCTAGAACGTTGATATCATTGTTCAATCCGGCAACTCCAACAAAGGCATGCCATATCCAAGTGTCATACGAGGCCACTGCTTCTAGAACGACAATTGGCTTATGCTTGTAGCCTATAAACTGGTCAACACAAGCAGTGGGGCAGTTCTTCCATTCTCAATGCATGCAGTCAAGACTACCTAACATGCCTGGGAATCCTCTGCGACTAGTCTTGTGCAAGAGCCTATAAAGTTCGGCTGGATTTGGGGAACAGAGGTACCACTGACCATACATGGCTTCAATAACAGAACAAAACTTTCGCAAACATTCAAGGAATGTATATTCACCCAATCTACAGTACTCATCGGTGGAGTCTACCGAGCATCCATATGCGAGCATTCGAAAAATGGTTGTTAGCTTCTGCTTTGGGGATAGACTTTATTGTCTACAAGCGTCTATCTTCTGAGTAAAGTATGACTCATGTGTAACAACATCATTCAAGATGCCATAGAAAAGCTCTCTTCTCATGCGGAATCGCCTGCGAAAGTCCACTGGGGAATAAAGTGGTCTTTCACAGAAGTAGTCCTCCATAAGACTCTTATGATGTTTTTCTCTCTTCCAATTCTTGTATTCACGGCCTGTAATAGAACCACCATGTTTGGATTGTTGAGCATATTGCTCCAGCAAAACCGTATGGTGTTGAACAACCATTGCAACTCTCTGTTAATGAAGGTCATCATCATCAGAATCATCATTGAATAAATTTTGTATAGCCTTCCCACGTGAATTCATTGTAAGAAGGAGAATTGAAGGAGATTGTGTGGTCAATTCAGTAGAATAACACTTCTTAAATAGACAAGAGAATGAGATGACCTACATGTTTGAAAATAATTAAATGAAGATAGGAAAAGATAAGAGAATCCAATAAAGTGAGATGAACAAAGATTAGCAATGGTTCATAACGTGATTGAAACAAGACAAGATGAGACATGGTTCAGAAAATAATTGAATGAAGATAGGAAAAGATAAGAGAATCCAATAAAGTGAGATGGACAAAGTTGAGCAATGGTTCAGAACATGATTGAAACAAGATAATAGGGGATGAGAAAAAGTTCAGAAAATAATTGAAGAACACAAGTGGAGGTGGGCAAAAGTTTAGAACATTATTGAATGAGGATAAAAGAATCCAATGAAGTAAAAGTAAAATTAAAAATGGAAGAAAATTATGGCAATGACTTCAATGAATGGTTCGAATTATTCCAGGCATACATATGGTGTTGTACTTGTTTTTATTTTTAAGTGAAATTCTATTATGTTTTGTAATTTTAATTTTTTTAGGTTAAAATGTTTAGAAAATTAAATCATGAGTATTGAAACAAAAATAATGTCAAGAAAAAAAAAATTATGGGTTAATCATTCTTAAACAATTTAATAAAGTTGCGGACTCAAATTATAAGTCTGCAAGGTTGGAGGAAAAAAAAATTTTGAGTCTTGAAACTAATAAACAGTTGTATTTTAAAGGGTGAAAATTTGAGTTTAGCCCCAACAGTCTCAAAATTTGAGATCGTAGCTTTGTTGATTGTAGTGGTCTTGTTGGACACATGCTAATTCGGCCCATATCTGTTCCGTATAATCAAACCTAACTATTTGCTCATGGGTTCTGACCAAACCAAACTGATTGACCACTCCAAACGGGTCAAGAAGTTGAAATGGGTTTTCTAATTTATCACATATTTTAAACCGTTGGATTTAGCCCAGCATAATCCTACGGTTGTGAATGAATAGTTGCTCACAGCTCCTTAAATTCTGTCCCTCACGTGAGCAGCCTGCGTCTTTCAGTTTCTTTTTGCAATTTTTGTTTTCAGAAATTAAATCCACGTGTCTGGTGATTGGCGGTATAGTCGCTCAAATAAAAACCCCTGCACTCACAGAAAACCCTCTCAATTTTCATTTTTTGCCGCCATTGGAACCCGCTCTTTCTCTCTCGCTCAACATTCGAAAACAAGTTTCTGCTTTCGACTCAATTCTCCGGCGATCTGTCCGATCATCAAGTAAGATCTCGAATCCCTTGTTTTCTTCTTTCTCAAATTTCAAACGCATCGTTTCGCTGCTACGGAGAAACTGCTGAAAGAGAAATATAATTTCATTTGCAATTTTGGTTTCTCGGTCAAAATTGAATGTGCCTTTTCGCTTAGTTGTCCTTTATATTTTCGGTTCGGATTTCGCTTAGAAGTTAAGTTCGATTCAGATTGTAGTTTAAGTACTTGCTTCTTGCGCTCGTTTTGCTCTATGTTTGATGAATTTTGTTTGAGAAGTTTGTTGATGTTCTTGATCTGAGTTTTACTTTTAGAATAATTGCATATTGATTACCAAAATTCAGTGAAAATTTTCCATGTAGAGGATTTTAGATGCTTTCCACTTCTCTAGATTTGAGTTTACCCATTATTTAATGTGAAAAACCTAATAATTTCCATAAGCGTTCTCATGAGAGAGACAAGGTAAGAAGAATTTCAAAAAGCCTATTAAAGTCAAGGAATTTTTTGAAATTGTACAAGCAATGCAGTAACAGTATTGTTTACTGTTGATTAGTTTGCTGGATGTTTGCAACATGGTTTCAACTACTTTCTACTAGTATCTCTGTAATTGGTTTTCTCCACTACATCATGTAATTAGGGACCGATACGATTTTTTTTTATTTGGGGATGATTTTACATTATGTATGCAACATGGTTTTTTATTATTATTATTTATTTTTGGGTAGAAGTTAAGTAGTTTGAGCTTGATAGCTTCGCTTTATTATCAATCAAAGTTTATGAAGAGCTTCTAAGCAAGTTAACTTTTTTGTTTGTTTTACAGGATATGGATACCTCAAATCCTGCAGTTTTTGTCAATGCAGAGCTTCTGCGATTGTATGTTGGAAGACGGGTTCGGGCACTGATTCAGGTTGTGCGAACTGAGGGTGGAACTGTCATTGGAAAATCTACTGATGAAAACCAGCTAGTTGTAAAGGGCTCCCCACCCTTTCCTCTTACAAAATTTGTTGAGGTCATAGGCATTGCTGATGGTGAAAAATCCATCCATGCTGACATCTGGAACAACTTTGGAGAGACAATTGGTATGCCTTTCCCTCCCACCTTTTCCAATTCCTACCTAATAGTGGTTCACAGTAATTATATAATTTTTAATGTTCGAAGGTTATTTGGCTTGGATTGGGAGGGAGGAGCTGAATCTATATAAATGACTTCAGTTTATTGTTTTCTGGAAGTATCAAAAGTTGCCAGGAAACAGTTTAGTTTATTGACACTTTGAGGATCTCCAAGATGCATTAATGTCCATTTAATTTTTAAGAGAAACACTGAAGCTTAAACTGCATCATCAACATAACCGTTGAAAGCGAGTTCCCGTTAAATCACAGGGTGTGCTAGTTATTCAAACTTATTGTTTGCATGAAACTTCTTTGTAATCCTTGCAGTACTTTAGTGTCCCAAAAGCTGTTTTATTGAATACAGGTGTTCTATAATTAGAAACCAATAAGAACTGTATTCCGCAGTAGTTAAAATCATTAAGAAATTGAGAATCTAACTAGCCCTTCTTCGGTTCTTATGTTCTGCTTGCCCCTTCACATATCTTGTTGTGTGTTGGCGTTCAACTTATTGGTGGCAAATTCTATTTGATAGTGCTTTTAGTGTTTGGTCGTTTGGAAATTTTTACGTACTCTTTTGCTGGTTCTGATATACTTCCATATTTTCTTAACCTGTTGACAGACACAACTACTTACAATCAGCTCTGTCAGCTTGCAAACGGGGATTTTAAACACTTGTTCATTTGAGTTGCAACAAGATTGCAGCGCAAACTCGAAAGTGCTTACAAGTTACATCCTCATGGGGCTTTGAACAGAAAGCGCTTGCATTTTAAACACTTGTTATGTAGTTATAATGCTGTCTTTGGCAATTTCTCGAATTTTAGTAGTGAAGTGATTAAGATCTTAGTTATTTGACATATGCACAAGTCTCAAATGTTTAACCCTTTTTGAATGAACCTGCAGTCTATTTTTACTCGAGGCTTTAACTTCATGTAATCTATCTATCATCTGCGCGATTTGCTGTGTCGAATTTTTTTTCTTTTCATGTTTAGCTGATTTAATATTTTGACCCTTATTGCTTCGACTTCATTTACCGCCATGTCTTAAATTGCAACAATCTAAATACCAAAATGGTAGGAAAAGGTAGTTTGTGGACATGTCGAAGAATGTAAAGATACCACATCGGGCCACTCAACAAAATAAAATACAATATATAAGTGAATAGTTTCACTATTAATAACTTGGAGTTCTTTCGTGATAAAGACGTCAACATATTTACAAGCATTGTTTCCTTGGGCCAAATATTATGTTCACCATACCTATAATTTAATGGCAGATGTCAGTTAAGTCAGTTGACCAAGGTAGTGTGCCTGTCTTTCTTAGGCCATCTCCAGTCATAGGGTTAAATGTAGTCCAGGACTAAATATTTAGCCCTCTAAAATATTAATTTTTTAAAGAATAGTGCATAGCTAAATATTTCCATCTCTAGACATGTATGGCTATATTTTAGGGTCATTCATATTTTATTATTTTGAAAAAAACTATGGTACAACACTCATGCATTCCACAATTATGTATTGTTTAATTTAATTAAACTACTATTTAGAGACAATATTCCATGACCAATAATTGTTTATAATTTTTTTTTAAACAACACTTGAAAACATTTAAAAAGGTGAGCACATTTATTTATAATATAAAAAATAAAAAATAATAAAAAGGGGGATGGGTTTCAGTGGTCTGACCTCCAACGGTTATGACCAATAATTTTTTATAATTTTTTTACGAATTGATAACATTTAAAAAGGTGACCACATTTAAAAATATAAAAAAAGGTTGGGTTTCAATAGTCTGACCTTCAGTGGTCATGACCAATAATTTTTTATAAATTTTTCTTAAACAACACTAATTGAAAACATTTTAAAAGGCTTTTAAAAATATATCGATGATGTCATCGCTTTTATTTGGCTGTTGGATATGTATTTGCACGAGATTATTCGTGCTCTTACCCACACTTAATAATTTACGTTCTTCAAAAGCACATGAATGGGATCCACAAAAAATTTGTCTTAGGCCAAAGCTGGGCTAAAGGGCCAAATGTGGCCCTTCAAATTTGGCCAAAATTTTATTTAGTAATTGTTTATAATTTTTTTTTAAACAACACTTGAAAACATTTAAAAAGGTGAGCACATTTATTTATAATATAAAAAATAAAAAATAATAAAAAGGGGGATGGGTTTCAGTGGTCTGACCTCCAACGGTTATGACCAATAATTTTTTATAATTTTTTTACGAATTGATAACATTTAAAAAGGTGACCACATTTAAAAATATAAAAAAAGGTTGGGTTTCAATAGTCTGACCTTCAGTGGTCATGACCAATAATTTTTTATAAATTTTTCTTAAACAACACTAATTGAAAACATTTTAAAAGGCTTTTAAAAATATATCGATGATGTCATCGCTTTTATTTGGCTGTTGGATATGTATTTGCACGAGATTATTCGTGCTCTTACCCACACTTAATAATTTACGTTCTTCAAAAGCACATGAATGGGATCCACAAAAAATTTGTCTTAGGCCAAAGCTGGGCTAAAGGGCCAAATGTGGCCCTTCAAATTTGGCCAAAATTTTATTTAGTCCATGGCTGAAGATGGGTTTTGCATTATTTTAAGGCTATATTTGGGATATAGCCCATGACTGGAGATGGCCTTACATCCAAGTTCGATCCTTCCATCCCTCTCCTTGTACATTAAAATAATTTATAATATATAAAAACTCTAATGGCCCGTAGGCCCATAAGTCGTCCTCGGCCGAAGCCCCTAATTACGGCCCAGGATTAAGGATGACGAAGCCCAAGGACATGTCGAACTCTCTCTATGTCCGAAATTCGCAAGACGACACTCAAAACTCAAGAAGCGATTCCTTTTCGTTCGTTGGGTTCGAGCTAAGTACAGCTCCGAGCACCGAGTTAGGGTTCCGATATTGAACAAATTGTTCCTTAGTTGAGAAATTGTTCGCAGCACCCGACTTAGGTACTTCCTCTCTATCAAACTTTACATTGTTTTCAATTGGGTTATTGTTCTCAAAGATTTGATTTTTGCTTTTTCTCGTAGAAATATTCGTATTCCTGCTTTCGTTTCCAAATTTGGATTTTGCACCAAAGCTGCAAATTTTTTTGTTTTTATTTACTTGGGTAGTGTTATTTCTCTGTGGAAATAGTGCAAGTGCAAACGTTCTGGTTTATGTGTCAGAGAGAATCTTAAAGAAAAGATTTTTACCAGAAAGGGAACGACTCAAAACCATTCAAATGTCAGATGGGTTGGCTGGGTTTGGGAAATAGGGTGACTTTTGGGGTGGTTGGCTGGTATTCTTTTGAAAGTCCAGAGTTTGAGGCATTTCGTTGTTTTTAATTGGCTGGGATTGAGTTTTACCATTTTCTCAAGTTTCAATATAAACATTTTCAATTTTCGAAGGAAGGGGATGGTAGAGTTCAACCATTCAATGCTTTTCTACGCGTGCATTGGCACTTATATGTTGGTTTACAGGGAGTTAGTCATATGTCAGCCTCTTAGGATTCAAAGATTCTCCGAAAAGATTAATAAGTTAGGATACCATGAATTTACTGCTTCATATGTGATGTATAATATGTTATCGTTTCTATGATTTCAAATATATGTTGTTTGATTTCTTATTCATGTTTTTTTTCCTTTTCTTTTCCTCCTCTTTGTGCATGAAACTCTCCAGATAGATAGTTAAACAATTACACCATCCATTTACTGTCGAATGTCGATATCTAGATATTCGAGAAATTCACTGCTTCATTGTTTATTTCGCCTGCTGAGCATCATCACCCTCTTGATAATCATGCAGAATTCTTCTGTTGCCTGTCTCTGTTACTATTTTTACAATAAAATGACCCCTTAATTGAAAATCATTGACTTTGCAAGTCCTTGAATCCATACCTCATGGCACAGATTCATTCGAAATTCTTAATCTGCAACTTCGTTTGGCCTCTCATGTTGTTTCCACCTTTCCGTATCTGTATTCTTTCTTCTATGAATGCTTCTGGCTACTGTGCTTTCTTCACAGTTGCCTTGCAAGCTTGTTTTTCTAGATATATAAGATGCCGAAAACAAGGGCGAATGCTTCTGGAGATGCATCTGAAAGACCTATAGAATCTGAAGAGCGGGTGGACCTTGATGGAGACAACGATCCTGAGGAAACAATAGAAGAAGAGGTCGAGTATGAAGAAGTAGAGGAAGAGGAGGAAGTGGAAGAGGTGGAAGAAGAAGAGGAAGAAGAAGAGGAAGAAGAAGATCCAGAGGAGGGTGAGGAAGAGGGAGAAAACAAGGGAGCTGCTACAAAATCTAATGGACAGAAAATCTCAGATGGTGATGAAGTGATGATAGTTGTTGAAGGAGAGGAGGAAGAAGAAAAAAAGAAGCATGCGGAGCTTCTTGCACGCCCTCCGCATGGATCAGAGGTGTATCTTGGTGGCATTCCTCATGATGCATCTGAAGAGGATTTGAGGGGATTTTGTGAATCTATTGGGGAAGTTACTGAGGTAATATATATTGTTGATTCTGGAGCTCTCTCTGCACCTTTTATATGTAGACGGACTAATCTATATATGTCAACAGGTTAGAATAATGAAGGGAAAAGATTCAGGTGAGGCCAAAGGTTATGCTTTTGTCACCTTCAGAAACAAGGAGTTGGCTTCTAAGGCCATTGAGGAACTGAACAATTCTGAGTTAAAGGTGAGCTCAACTAACTTTTGGTCACTTATCTTCCCCAATTATTGCTACTGTTAATTATCAACTCAGGGTTGTGGTTCTGCTAATTTACACATCCACTTTCATTCACGCCTTTCCTTTTGAGATCTATTACTTAAATCTTTTTTTATGAAAACTGAGGTTTTAGTTTCTTGTAACATTAACTTCTCTGCTGGCTCTTTTTCCAGGGAAAAAGGATTAAATGTTCTACATCTCAAGCAAAGCATCGGTTGTTTATTGGAAATGTTCCCAGAAATTGGGGAGAGGAGGATATGAAGAAGGCTGTAACAGATATTGGACCAGGAGTCATTTCTGTGGAACTGTTGAAGGTTAAAGATATATTCTATAATCTTCTATTTAGCTTATGTATTTTATGTTCTATTTTTCGTTTTGGTTACCTATCATTTCCAAATTCACTATTGTGCTATTTTCTTGATGGATTTTCCTTGTATCTTGATGTAGTTCTGTTTTCGGTTGAATCTTCTTGATACAGGACCCACAGAACTCCAGCCGGAATCGTGGATTTGCTTTCATTGAGTATTATAATCATGCGTGTGCAGAATATTCAAGACAAAAGATGTCAAGCCCAAAATTTAAGCTCGACACCAATGCTCCTACTGTGAGCTGGGCTGATCCTAAAAATACAGAATCCTCTGCTGCTTCTCAGGTTAGTTATATGTGCTTTTTGCTACACTCAGATAAGCTATTATATAGTTCTGCTTTGGCTCTCTTTTCCTTTTCTATTGTTCATTTCTTATTTTTTACTGAGGGATGGGGGATTGTAATGGATGTTGCCTACAGCATTTTATCTCTGTTTCGAATTATCTTTCCCATCTGTTGGCTGTACTCATAATGTTTGTTTTTTATTTTGTTCTGTTTTGTTTTTTTGTATCTGAGTGCTTCATCCCATGATCTCCACCACATCAGACCTCGTACTTTCATGTGCAACCTTACGTGTGTAAAATTGTTTGGCCTTGAATTATTACATGCACTTGTGGATGTTGGTCGAGTCATGACATCTTTGTTTTGATTGATACAGGTGAAGGCAGTGTATGTCAAGAATTTACCAAAAGACATTACTCAGGAGAGTCTAAAGGAGCTGTTTGAACGTCATGGAAAGATCACAAAGGTGGTTCTCCCACCTGCAAAAGCAGGACATGAAAAGAGCAGATTTGGTTTTGTGCACTTTGCGGAAAGGGCATGTGCAATGAAGGCATTGAAGAACACTGAAAAATATGAAATTGATGGTAACTTGCTCATGCTCTTTGTAGCTCTCCACTATCCTCTGTAGTTAATCAGTTTTCAGGAGAAAATCTTAATTCATAGTCTCCTCTGTTTCGTAGGTCAAGTTTTGGAATGCTCTCTTGCAAAGCCACAAGCAGATCAGAAGTCTTCTGGATCATCAAATCATCAGAAGTCACCTTTACTTCCAACCTACCCACCACGTCTCAGTTATGGCATGGGAGGGAGTAGTCCATATGGTGGATTGAGTGCTGGATATGGTGGCGGTGCAGGGTTTGCCCAAGTAAGATTTAAATTATAGTTTTATCATGGCATTGAATAGACAAATTTGGGTCCAGTTGGAGTCCCTTGTACCTAGAACTAGCAAGGTGTGGCCCTAGTCTTACTAACCTTGTATTTGCTAAGGGAGTTTTAGTTGTTTTTCTAAAGGAGCATGCAGGACCTGCTGATAACCCAACACAACCCAATCATACATAGTCGGAACATGTTATTTTTCCCCCTCAGCACCTAAAGTTCACAGTCCATAACTTGTGTCTGAAATAAATCTGTTACCAGCCAAAAGAATGTTTTAGACGGCCTTTGGGCCTAATGTCACTTCCTTTTAAGTAGAAAATTATTTCCAGGTTCCGTTGACAGCATGTGTGCCAATTAGCAATCTGGAAAATAAAAAGGAATCACCAAGGAAACCATCTTATTAAATGAAACAAACAAAGAAATAAATAACTTATTGTGTAGGACGTACTTTTAAATCTGATGACAAAATATACGAAGACCCTGCATTTTTCATGTATTATTAAAAAGTTAATCACAAATCAAAAGTATTTTTATATATTTAACAATATTGACAAAACATAAACTATAAGGAAAACGCTTATTTAGGATGCTTCTTAGGGGGGTAAATTCTTGATTTATAGCAAATTTTCTGCTTTTAGTTTTCTCTGGATACTTTTGGTGATATAGGCCCCAATTTCTTGCAGCCACTGATCTATGGTAGGGGACCCACTCCTGCTGGCATGGCAATGATGCCTATGCTTTTGCCGGATGGAAGGATTGGATATGTCCTGTAAGTATCACTTTTTGGAATTTGTTAGTTGCACAATTATTGGTTGCATGTATTGTCTCGTTAGAAAATTTTCAGCAATTATTTGTTCATCAACATCTTTACCCCCTTTGAAATGTTAGTTGTATCTTCTTTACAAAGGCCCTTGCATTTGCACTATTTGTTTCTATTTCATTTTTACCATGCATCCAAATTTGAACTTCTGCATTTCTTTCCCCAGGCAACAACCCGGAATGCAACCACACACCCCTCCACCGCAGTCTAGAGGTGGAAGAAGTGGTGGTGGCAACTCAAGTGGTGGAAGGCGCAGTGGTGACAACAATCGTGGCCGCAGTCGCTATAACCCTTATTAATTAGTGAGGTTCGCCTTGCTTCGAAAGGGAAAGGAGAAAACAGTATTTTGGGTCTGTGAGTATACATTTGGAGCTGTGCAGTTCATTAGAACCAAACATATGTAGCTGGTCATGTCATAGAAAGAGTTGCTTCAGATCGATTCACGTGTAGTTTGCCTGAACTAAGTCTAATTAAATTATGAAATTGATGCTTTTTAAATTATATTGCACGTCAATCAAGAGTCTTAAGATTCAAGTTCAGTCGAGCTGCATCACAAATTTTTTATCTTCATCTTGTTTGAGTTTCAGTCGGACAAATATAATCACATCATAAACAGATTTCTATTGTTAAAAACGATGGCAATGCTATAAACAGCAATGGATATGGAAAAGCAAACACCACAAGTGAAAAATATGTTCAATAATATTTCTGTAAATTGCATAATGAGAAGAGGGGTGCACTATGGGATGACAGTTTCAAACTAATATTCAGAGAGGGCCTTGCAAACGATGATTCTAGATCATTTACCTCCCAAACTTGCTGGTCTCCACTCTTCTATCTATGCGTGTCTCTTTGTTCTTGATTTTATTGAATGTGCGCGAAACAGAGCAAAAGAGATTAAAATTAAGAGCTAAATCCATCGTTGATGAAATGGATCTTGAGCATCTAAAAAAGTGTTAAAACATAGAGATTAGATAAAATTTCAGAACTCAGAGCATGAAGCGTTGGTACATGTCTGGAAAAGTTCATCTATAACTTACACGACTTGCATATAAAAAAGAAACAGGAGTTCAGAATTAAATGAGTTCTTTACGGAGTAAAATTGACCCCAATAAGCAACTTGTTACACATAAACCATCTATAGCACAAAATCCAATAAACTTCCACAGACTGAATTGTTTCACTACCAATTCAAGGTTGAGAAGTCTTGAGGTGCTTCAATCCAAATGTTCTTAAAAGGATCTTGCTCTCCCCAGTCATGACACTGCTTGCGAGGATGGTATCTACAATCATCAAGAGAGTATGATATGCAACACCTTCCATAGAAACGAACTTTAGAGAAGTAGACACTGTTTCTCATTATTCCAGGGAGGTCAGTTCTTGAATGAGATGACAAGAAACTCGCAAACAGAGTCACACCATCAAGGGTTTTCATTTCCTCCCAAACCATCCTCGTCTGATCCAGCTTAAATATAATTGGGTTTTCACTAGAACATGTATATATCACTAATATGTCTCCGTTATGCTCAGCCATAAACTTGCCTTTCCACCAATTTTTGGCAAAAAAGTTCTCGGGGCATTTGGGTGGAGGAACAGCAAGAACACTCCAAGTGCGTTCCTGGGGGTTGAATACCCCTAGCCAACCGGTGAGGCTTAGACAATAAAAGAGTCCATTGCAGAAAACAAGCTTGTTCCAAATGCTACTCACAAAGGGCAAACGATTCTGGACATTAACAGTCGTCCACTCTCTTTCCCCAGGACGGCAAGTGCTAATAGCAACAATTGTGGGACTGATGTGTTTTACCGTAAAAAGTATGCAGCTGGCAGAAGTTGGGGCACAAGAAAATGCAACTATCTGATAAGTCAACTCGAATCTTGGTACCTTTATCATCTTGCGAGTAAAAGGATTAAAGAAGAACACACGCTGCGATCTGGGTCTGTATAGCAATAGCCAACCATCTTTGGTGTAGCAAATCCTAGACCCAGTCAGCTCAGGTAACTCTAAGGAGTAGATTTTGCGCTGCGAGGGGTCATAGAATTCGTACAGGTCACCAAATTTCGGAAAGTACATTAGCAATGGCGACTGGTTGACCACCCGCACAGAAATGGCAGCTGAGTGCCATCTCTTGCATACAACAGATACACGAATATTATCCTTCAGAGCTAAACGAGACACAATGAGTTCCAAAAGTTCCGTAGGAAGGTCAGACCAAGTCTGTAGCTCCAGTTTCTCCCTTATCTCCTTGCTTACTCTTCTTTTACTGTTTGTGATGGTTTCAGCTAACCTATACATCATAAAATACTATAAATTCTAAGTGTAGAACATCAAACGAAATACACAGATGAGCTGAGAATGCCATAATGAGTTGTAAAATGCATGAAAGGCAATTGTTTCAACTCACCTTTCATGCATTTATCAACAAGAGCACAATCTGATTGCAAGTCAAGTATCAACTATCTACTCTTTTTTTGTTGATGCATAAGATTGTACAGGTACTGTTGTTTAAGCAAGACATGTACATAAGCAATTTACGAACCTAAGACATAATACACTAATACGAAAAGGAGAATATAATTATACAATAACCACTAGGAATCCCTTGACCTTGGGACCCGAAAAGTTATGAAAAGTTAAAATGAGCATAACGTGAAACTAAAAACCAAAACCAATGAAGTTGCTACAAAATTCATTCAATTCAACATGTTGTTCATACCAAAAAAGAATCCATGATCTAGCAATGGGTTTAACCCATAACTTCACAAATTATAAAACTTCCAACTAATTCTTAGCCAAAAATGACATTGTCATTCTACCATAAAACTCGGATAAACCAATTTCTCTAAGACCCTAAATTCACTTTTTCGCCACAGATAAAAACCCTTCCCCAAAAACCCATCTAAAATCTCAAAATTGACTTCAATTCTCAAAAATTAAAGCATATTCCTGACTTGAAAACATTGGGTATCCAATTATGAACCCTAAACTGATCCCATTCCTAAAATCCTTAAGAGTCATTTCATGGAAGCCATATTGAAAAAACAACAAATTGAAATATGCAAATTACAAAATGTTTTTAGTAAGCAACAGAAATCAAATCTTACGATTTCAGCTTCCTCTTTCTCCCGGCCATAGTGAACCAATTGTAGCTGCCGTTTACACAGAGAGAGAGAGACAGAGAGAGAAAGAGAGGAGAGAGAAACTCTTTGAGAGAGCACAGACGGAGGTTATATCACTCTGGTCGCTACTTGCAAATTATATAACACGTGGGAGTTGATCAGTCAAGGTGGATCAGCTGTATCCGGGTCCATACTTTCACAATGAATTCCCAAATTTAGCAGAGACAACACCACTATCGTTATAGAGATGAATTCATTTATTCACGTGTCAGTTTTCTATTGGTTATGCGTCAGAAAGATGGTCGGAGGTTTTTTCAGGGAAACTAAATTCAATATAAACACCGAGTCGTCCCCATGCCGTGTTACTGTGTGCGGTGCATTTTGTCTCCGTGGGTTTGACTGTGAGTCCTACTCCTACGTACAAGAATTTACTAACGCGAGTGAAACTAATTTTTTTAATCTTTTTATATTGCGAGAGCTGAAAGGAGAAAATTTAATTTGAACATTGAGTGCAAAATTCTTAATTACTTGAGTTACAAGTTTCTTGTCACTAAAATTTAATTTTTGTTGTTTTAGTAATGAAATAAATAATATATATATACATAATTTGGCGAAGAAACTTATTAGGAATGTTACATGTCGATGAGCCAGGTATATTGATATTTTTTTTCTCAATTTGATCGACAAAATTAAGAGCATATTTAAAGCATGGATGGAGTAGAAATTTTATGAAAGAACTCCTAAAATAACCCTAGGTAGAAAGTTTATAAAAAGCTCTTAAAATAAATTTTAAATATTTAATTAAAATTTAAAATAAAAATAAGAAATATGATTGAAAATGCTCTAATATATTTATTCTTATGCTTCCACAAAGGAGAAAAAAAAAAGGTTTAAAATACCCTCACAAAAAAAGAAAGGACCTAGTCAGACTGGGAGAAGCTGGGCCCAACTTAAGAGACTGAGTCCAGATCCCAGAGAAAACACAAGACCAGACCGGGTTGGATGGTTGGGCCGTGTGCAAGTTTAATTTATCGGTACTACTTCATGAAGGAGAAGCTTTTGTTTTGAGGAGTTTTGATTGGTAAATCTTCCATAAATATATATATATATATATATATATTTTATTTTATTTTTGTAAAAGTTTGTTGTAATCCATATTTTCCTTTTGGCGGGAGTTTTTTTCTAATATAATTATAATTAACCAAAATTTTGGGGAAAACAAAATTAGCGAAAAGGATAAATTTGATGTCAATTCGTATCGAGACTAATTTATAAAAACATATTTGTGATCATTTTTGCAGCATTACATTGTCTACATGGTTCTCACTCATATCCAAATTCCGAAATTGTCGAAACTCATGTAGACAATGTAATGCCGCAATTGTCTTCTGATTGCCTCAGTCTTGGGCAGGTAAGTGTTCATATTCATAGATATTCAAACCCTAATTAGTATTATTTAAGTGAATTTATTTTCCATTTCAGTGTTCTGGAAGCTCAAGGGGAAATTGTTTACCATTATACTAAGAATTTTAGAGGCTTCTCAGCTTTGCTTACGTCACAAGAAGTTGAAAAGCTAAAGAGTATGCGAAGAACATATTGCACGTCAATTTTAAGCTTTTTCCCCCCTCACTTTTTTGGAAGGTTATTTGTTATGATCACTGACTTAATTTTGTTTGTTTGTTTTGATTTACATAAAAAAAAATGCAATTATTTCTATTTTTGAAAGTAAGATTTACACCCTTCACACCACAAGGTCGTGATCTTTCATGAAATCGGAGGTTAAAAACGATTCTAAAGGTGTATTTGATCGCCGTAGAAAAGAGAAAAGTTATATATACATACACACATAATTGTTGCACGTTTTAATGTGATTTATGATGATGAAGTTACATATGGTTTTGACGAAAGTGTTCGATATCTACAGGAATGCAACTGCAATTATCCTACAAAATCGGGTAAACCATGGTGCAAAACCTGCTCCAAAGGTGCAATTTTATCAAAGTAAGTTATTACTATTGGCATTGGTAGTAATGGACCGTCAATGGGAAAAAACAACCGTTAAGAGTATAGAGTTCATTACGATTATCCCCCAGGATTAAAAGCATTTTCTGATTAGGTGTTTATTCTTAGGTAGGAATTTTGTATCAGATAGATTAGCTAGCTGCCTTTGAGTTTGGTCAGTTATGTATTTGATTAGAACATGACCCAATTGCGATATCCTCTATCTAATAGAAGTTCTGTGTGTCAAAATTAAAAAGAAGCACATCCATGCCAAATCGAGCATACTTACATAACAAAATTTGAACTTCTAAAAACATGCGTGTAAAAAGAAATTGATCAGGATGAGAAAAAGCAATCTAGAATTACAAGGCCAGCAGAAGGGGGCCTAAAACCCACTTTAGAACCCCACTTCGCAAAGTAAAAAAAGCTGCTTCTTGAATTAAAAATCTGTGTTCTGCTTCTGCCTTCAGAAACCAAAGATTAGTATAAAACCCAAAATCTCAAACAAAGCCAAGAATCCAAGAATAAATACTCAGATCTTCAAATGTCAATGCAGCTACATTAGCAACAAATGGGGCAATGAATTAAACCATTTTCATTGCACTCACCACATTTCACCATCTTCTTTTGACCCTCATCCAAGACCTTGCAGCTTCCATTGCATTCCATGCACATCACAAACCTCATCCCAGCACATCCCTGGCACCCGACAAGTGCCGTTGGAATCCCATCAAACAAAACTCCAAGCTTCCCTTCCTCTTCCAACTTCACAATCTCATCAGCTCCACCAATCAGCCTCCCTTTGACAAATACAAGCGGAACCTTTACATCCTTGGTCCCCATTAGCCCCCTTATCTCCTCCTTGAATCCCGAATCCATCGATATGTCGCGCTCGAGGACATGAACAAGGTGTGACTCAATGATGGACCTCACAATGTTGCAGTCCTCAAAAGTCTTCCTAATTCCTCTCAATGTTGTTGTGTAAACAACAACAGCATTTTCACCACCTGGTGGGCATTTTTTCTCAAACAACCTCAGCATGGACTCGGAATCCCGGGAAGAATTCCTAAACTTTCGGGCTTTTGGGGACGGCGGGACCATCCTCTTGATATGTTCTTCCTCTTCAGACATTTCTTTTTCGTAAGAAGCAACAAGTTCCGGATCAAACAGGGGACTAAAACTCTTCCTCCTCGTCGAATCACAGCCAAAACTCCTCCTTATTGCCGAAATAGGCGACCCTTTTACTTCCGGACTCAAATTCAACGCCTTCTTACAAGAATTCTCGCCGCCATTGTTCGGTTTCAGCACCTGTTTCGGGCTATAACCCAACCCATGAATCACTCTCCCTCTGTTTAGGAGACCCAATCTGATTCAGCAACTTAAACGGAGTCCTGGCATCAAAATCAGCAAACCCACGAAGCAGAGCACGCGATTTCGGGCTCTTCTTTGCCGAATTCGAAATGGGTATTGCTTCTTCAAGGCCCTCCATAAGTTCCCAAGCGTTGATAACCTCTGGATCTTCACGGGAAGGCGAAGACTTCATGGCCCTCTTGCTCTCTGCAACGCAGTCTTTGATGGGTCGCTCATTTTCCAAATTCAGAACCCCATAAGTGCTTGAAGTAAGAGAGACCACGTGGTTGATCACGTAGTCGCCGCCATTGTTGATTATGACGTCTTCTTTGATGAGATCTTTCTTGAACAGTTTGGATGAAACGCAGCCCATTGACGAGTGGGGTTTTCGTCTCTGGTTTCTTCCCTGTCTCTGTCTCTCTGTTTTGGATTTGAAGCAAAAGATGTGTGTGGGGTATTGGGCATTGGGTAACTGAAGTGGGAGTTTCTTCTTGTTTTTTCTTTTTTGAATCTTAACGGTTACCTTGTCTGCAACGGGCCTTAACGGTCCGAAAATTCGAATGAGATCGAGGTATTTTTGTAGGAAGTCCTTGTCGTTTTTGGGTATTCGCTAATTGACGCCTCATACTTCTTTTAATTCTGTGTTTGGCCCAGCCCTTCTTTGAGTTTTGCTAGCTCCTCTTTTAACTTTATATATTAAATGTTTTGGCTAAGAACTTTCTATGTTATTATTACTTTCTTCCTTCAGAAAAGGATATTCTAATTACTTTAATGTATCAAACTGTGATGCAAGAGGCGGGCACACTGCCTTGGCCAACTAACTTAACCCACGTATGCATGAACTCTATATATAAGTGTACAAAGATTACTAACCTGTCTTTTTTTTTTTTTTTGTCCAAGGACATGATGAAGAGTTTTTCTTAATAGCCACTAATAGAAGCAATTCACTAAAATTGTCCCCTAAATTATGCTCAGCTAGATTGGCTAGAGATTGAAGGATGTTGGATAAGATGCTTTATTTATTAAGAGCATCCATAGTGGGGAGGTGTATATGGGGGTGTATGTTAAATATACACCCCGAGTCACCGGAATCGTCTCCAATAGGGAGATGTAAATGGATGTAAATATACATCACCACCATGGAGATGTAAAATAAAATGTATATTTACATCTATTTTTACATCCCTTGCATGCAGGACCCACTTGAGAAAAGAGAAGAAAAATGAAGAAAAGTCAATATAAAAGGCTTGGACCCACGGCTACACCCCCGAATTTACATCCCTCATTGGAGTAAAAAATATATTTACACCGTCCGGAGGTGTAAATGGGATGTAAAAGTGACTTTACAACTCCGAATTTATATCCTCCCACTGTGGATGCTCTAAGGTAACTTCATATTGTGAGGCACACATCAAAATGTATCAAAGATTAATAATCATTATGTCAAGAGAAGAGGTTAAGCTCACTCTCAAAGAGGTATTTTACAATTAAATAATATTACTAGTAGATATTTTTATATTGCAATAGATTTTCAATTACAAGTATAAAATATAGTTATTTTATAGTGAGGGCCTTATCTAAGATCTTTAGATGAGGCCCTATCTCTTAACCGTTGGATCCAACAAACCAATTTGATCCAACGACTAACCAATTTGTAACACTCTGTCTTGACTAATTATTTTATTTTGAGAAGTTACATTTTTGCCCATGGTATGCTTGAATTGAAGGCCATAGGCCTGTCGACTTGTT